AAAAAGCGAAAAGAATATTTAGAAAGAAAATAACTTGAAAAGAGAAAAAGGGTGTGGTGCATGCAATCAGTCGAGCTCAAGTAAGTACTCCCAAATTACCCATACAATTTTATGATTATCAATTTCAGTTTCAGTTTTAGTTCCAGTTTCAGTTTCAGTAGAACAACATGCTAGTATAGGACTAAGGATCTAGGAGGATGCCTTTTGTGCCTGATTATGTGTTTCAGCCTTATGAGAATTGCATGCTAGTATTGAGTAGACAGCAGTAGGATAGCCTGTTTAGGTTATGCCTGATAGTATGAGTTCAACATTGTATGCTAGTACAGTTTCTTGAGAATAGTTTGCATGAGTATGTTTCCTTTATCCGAATGCTGCTTGCTTTGTGCTTAGTGGGACTCTGAGTGATGGGAGTTAGCCATTAGGTGAATACATCACATCACATGTGGTCAGGATTGGATAAACTCAGAGTGTCGGATTTGACCCTATTGCGCAACTCTCGTTTGAGTCTAACCGTTGTAGGGATGAGTCTTGTACTCGAAGGATTATCCGAGCCTCATTGCATGTGATGGTATTCAGGTGGTGGCTAATTGGAGTTGCAAGGAGGCCTTCAGCAGCTGAGGACTGGTTTGGGTGGAGTCAGAGGTTTCCTACGGCAAGCCTAGGATGAGAGTAGCAAAGATTAGCAGTAAAGAAAAGGGACTTGGTGGAGTTGAGGTAACTCTTGAGGAAAGTATGAATAGATGTGGAAGATAGTATGGGCCCATACTACTGAAAGCAGAGGATCTGTACTCGATTCAAGAGGGGCCGAGGCAAAATCAGGGAACTAGTAGAGGGTGTGAGAAGTCCCTCAGCAGCGGTGTGTATTGATCAGTAATGTGTTATGTTTTCAGCATGGTGACGTTGCACGAGATATCAGTTGGCAGTTCAGGTGCCGGGGAGGGATCTGGCTCAGGTTCTAGAGCCGGACAGCTTGATGATCAGATGAGGGATTTCATTTCCACAGAGATCAAGCGCAACATCATTGATCAGACTCCAATGATCTTCGGTTCGGTTAGAGAGGCCATCGTGGAGCTTATGGACAGTCATTTGGAGGCCTTTAGGGTCGGGGCAGTTTCAGGATAGATTAGGGCTCGTCTAGAGCCTGATGCTTATGGAGTTTAGGGATCCATCAGGGAGGGAGTTTCCAATTTTAGCTCTTATCATCAGGGGATAGGTGTGAGTGGGTCACTTTGTCTCCAGGAGAGACCTCTACATGATTGGATAGTCAGGAAGGTTGCGCGATCCATTCGCGAGGAGCTGCCCGACATTGTCATGAGGGTCACTGATAGGTTGACCGCGAAGCTCCAGGATCGGACAGCGATTGTTCAGACGATGGTAGGGGTCGACAAGGTAATGCATGAGCGAGAGTCGGGCAGGGAGTCGGAAAGGAAGATGAAAACGGATGAGACTCAGGTAGCCGCAGGTTCAGGCAAGAGGCCTAAGGGTTCGGATTCGAGATCGAGGGAATATCAAAGCTGCAGTCGATGCGAGAAGTGTGGTAGGACGCACGAGGGTGCGTGCAGGCGTAGAAGTGGTGGTGATGCTGGATGTTTCAAGTGCGTTCAGATTGGCTATTTTAGCAGAGATTGTATTGTTACCATCGCTCAGCGGTTGATCCGATATGTTTCCGTTGTAGTCAGAAGGGCCACAAGAAGGCTCACTGTACGAATTTGTATACAGCAGGGCAGGTGCCAGCTCCTGCCCCTAGGACTTCGAGAACCACCATCAGACATCAGGGTCGGGAAAGGGCGCCCACGGCTCGGAGCCGAGTTTTCCGGTTGATTTCAACAAGGATTCGAGTAGCACTGAATTATGGGGGTACGTATCTTTTACCTTCCTATCAATTATTATTCATGATATTATTGTTATGTTGCTGCATTGTTATCAATAAGCATAAGTGTTAGGGTATTATATTACCTGCTTGTGACTGAGTTTTATGTCATCTGCATACCTTGGAATTAGAATGGTAAATTGGAGGTCGTCCCCTCTAGATCAGGTTACTTCAGATGCGGTGACTGTAGGATGTATGTGTAAGAATCAGTAATGCCTCACTACTTTCGAAAGGTATCATTCGGGATTGATCAGTTAAATCCTTAGTAGTGACAATTTAGAGCTTCTAGTGAGGTAGCCAGCGGACAATAGGGAAGTGGGTTGGGGATGTGCACCCCAAACGCAGGTTCTCAGGATGCAGTCCCTAAAGCAAATATAGTTAAGGATTGAAGGGTGCTCAGCTAGATAGCAAGAATGGTTCGGATCTGGTAAAAGTTAGTTGGAGCGCCGACAAAGGTAAACGTTGGCAGACGACAGATCGCCCTTTTAATGGAAGGAAAGTTGGGGAATCCTTTCGACCAGTGATCAGTAAGGAGTTAGTCGGATCCAAGTGGGGGAGAACCCTCCGAGTAGACAAGGGTAAGAGCACGCAGATCCAGAATGAGTACACGACCTCTGAGAAGAAAGATAGTAGTGCAGCGATTGATGGATTGAGGAGTTCAGAGTTGGGAGTTTGAGGAACTTCCCAACAATAAGTTCATGTGATCGAGAGGGTTAGTAGCTGGTTGGGAATTCAGGGTTGGAGGACCACCTGTAGGACTCTAGTGAGTCGGAATGAGGATCACTACTAGAAAAACAGCCTTTTACGACGCTCATTGCACGTCGTAAAAGGCTCAGACGACGCGCAAATGCGCGTCAAGGAAGGCTCTGTCATAAAGAGAGACGATGCGCTTTTGCGCGTCGTCTATAGACGACGCGCAGTTACGACGCGCTTTTATGACACGCAATGCGTATCAAGGAAGGCCCTGTCATAAAGCAAGACGACACACTTTCGCGTGTCGTAACCTTACGACGCGCGTGTTAATGACACGCAATGCGTATCAAGAAAGCCACTGTCAAGAAAGGCCATGTCATAAATGAAGATGACACACATTTTTGCGTATCATAATTTTAAATGTTTAAAAAAAATATTATTTATAGATTTACTAATTTTCAAATTAAATTTGTATATAATGACTCATAATAGAAAATAAAATATCATATAAAAAAATACAATTCATTGCATAAAATTTAATGTCATACAAATAATCGTTCCATGGAAAGATAAAACAAATCAATAGTTGTAACAAAAATTTACAAACTAATTAGATACAAGAAATATAAAAAAATATACCCTCAAATGCTTTTCAAAGTCTAATCTCCATGTCAGCTCTTCAACTCACTTCTCCAGTTTGTCCTTGTGTTCTCTAAGGGCTCCAACATCTCTTGCAGCCTGTGACAACATATATTATAATTGTTTTATTACTATTTATTCTTATAATTCAAAGAATTTAGATAAAATTGTATTATATAATACTTAGATTTTTTACAGAAAATTCACTCACCAGGAAGAACTTCACTTGCTTCTGATGTGGTTCTTGTATGTTCATCATTCATAGCTTTGGTTACTACATCATCTAAAGCTGCATCTTTACTTTTAGATTGAAAAGGCATTTCTTGTTGAATATTCAGTCCCTCAACCATTGGAACATCAGGAAGAACTTCACTTGCTTCTGTGTTTTTCTGATGTGTCTCCTCTCCAACAGCTTCTACACTCAAAGGGACAACAATGGATAATATTGAACAGCTTCTAAACAAAACCTAGTATACTTTAACATAAAACATTAAGAAAACAACACCTTCTGGAGTGCATCTCTATAAACCTTTTCCTCACTCCTTCAAGAACAGCTTCTCTAGAAGCTTCACCATTGAGTCCATCATTAAGAACAAGATCTCCTACCAAAAGTATGCAATCCAAACTATATTATATAATAATCCACTAATATTATAAAAACATTCCATTTTTTTTCCAACAACTATGATTTCATGATTCTATATCATAAGTTTGTTTGCTTTGATTAGGGTTACAAGGATATGGAACGGGCCCACAAACATGATGGTGACAGTTGATGGTGGAAGAACATTTGTTGCAGATGCAGTGATTGTAACAGTTCCTATAGGGGTATTAAAGGCAAACTTAATTGAATTTGAGCCAAAGTTACCAGATTAATTGAAAGGTTTCTGCTATATTAGATCTTGGAATGGGGAATAAAAATAAGATCGCCTTACATTTTGATCATGTGTTTTGGCCAAATGTTGAGTTATTGGGTACAGTTGCCTCAACATCGTATTCTTGTGGGTATTTTCTTAATCTACACAAAGCAACTGGCAACCCTGTTCTTGTTTATATGGCTGCTGGGAGATTCGCTTATGATCTTGAGACGCTTTCAAAGGAAGATGCTACCAAGTTTGCGATGGTGCAGCTTAAGAAAATGTTTCCAGAAGCAACCGAGCCTGTAAGTCTCTTGTTTTTTTATTTATTTATTAAAAGTGAGAAATTGATTTTTTGAGAAAATTTTTGACTACTACTACAGGTTCAATATTTGGTATCGCATTGGGGAACGAACCCAAACACCTTCTGGAGTGCATCTCCTACCAAAAGTATGCAATCCAACATAATCTTATTGGCTCCCAAGATCTCTGCAAGCATAACAAATAATGGGTATTAAGACTTAAGAGATTACTAGAAATGAAGCTAGGATAATAAAGGGGGAAATGAAGTCATAAAGATAAAGAATATCATGGGAAAGCATCAACCTTTCGACCTCCACTGCAGAAGAAACAATCTCTTTAACATACCTTAATCAGACCAGATCCCTACAAAACAAGGAAGAAAAAATAAAAGTAATTGCTTGGAAATAAACGTTATTAGCAATTTATATCCTATAATCTCTCAAACTTTCTTGTCTTTAATACGTTTTCCATGGTAATATCTTAATTGTAATAACGTTATTATATAAGTAATTGGTTATATAATAACTTTTTAGATATTCTTACAACTAGTTTCTCTAGGGGTTTGAGAAAAGATCATTTTGTGTAGTTGTTTGCACCTTTGGATTCTAGCTCCTTAACTCCTTTAGGTGTCATACTTGTCATGCAATTGACTTGTAAACTTGAGTAGTTGCAGTCACTAGCAAGGTAACATGTGGGTATGGGTGCAAGAATACATGAAACTCATAAAGTCCGCACATAATACCTAATCCCTGCAAAACAAGGAAGAAAAAATACAAAATTACTATACATATAATGTATGTAAAGTTTTATACATTCCTAATGCAATGCAATAACATACAGTTGGATTCCACTCAAATTTGTTGTTCTGGTAAGGAGAAAAATCAGATTGAGGAAACTTCTTATCTGGAGATGATGCTGCAAAGGGGTAGAAATGTCATTGCAGGAAGCTTTCCACTAATTCCTATTTTCTTGCTATATTAGAGTAACTACATTTCACCACCATGTATATATTACCTGTTAAATTGGTTTGATTTTGAGGTCCTGATTCAACTAATACACCAGCTAAATTTCTAGCAATGTTTGAATCACTTGATACTCTGAAGAAAAAGAAGAAGAAGAAGAAGAAGAAGAAGAAGAAGAAGAAGAAGAGTAATTAGGACATCAAAAAAAAAGACGTTTAACATAATATAAAAGATAAAAATAAAAACTATAATTGTGGTATACCTTGAAAGTAGACTGTCAAAATTAGAAAAAACTAGGATGTCATTTTCTTTTCTTCATTCAACAAATTGCTTTTTTTTTTTTATCTGAATACCTGATAACAAACCTAAAAAAATAAAAAATAAAAATAAAAAAGTCACTTGTGTTACTCCACAATTCTTCTTATATGAACTGCTACAAGTATTATTAAAATTTGAGGGGTAATATTGACCTTTTGGCACAGTTAAGTCTACAAAACTGCAGCTTTCCGAAGGATGAGGGCAAAATGGGGATTGAATTATTGCTTGAACTGATCACCCAAACCTTGGGGCATTCCTAAGCTCTGTGCAAGATCACCCATTCGTGCTTTCATGGCCTAAAAAGGGATAAAACGGTCAAATTCAAAATATATTACTCCAAGGGTAAAATTGTACTTTTATATTATCATACAAACCTGGACACTCTTTTGATGGGCATCTCTATATGCTTCTGTAATCAGAAGTGACAGTTTCTGCAAAAAAAAATCAATGATACAATATATCATTCTTTTACTAATTTATCTGATTTATGAAACAATGTTTTAACATTTAATTCAAAAAAAAAAAAAGAGTAAGATACAAAAATATAAAATGAAATAATATAATAAAATTACTCACTTCTGAACCCTTTCCATTGCAGCCTCTGTAATTTCTGTGCGTACAGGTTGCTGATTCCCAGAGAGAGTGACCTAAAGTTGCAGCTCTCAATCCAACAACTTCATGTGCTACATCTTTGTCAACAGCGGGACCCACTATGGATTCCCATTTTATATGCTTTCTCTTACCTCCAACATTTTCCTAAAAATGTATAAATAAAGTATTTGTAAAATTATAATTATAATTACATGACATGAAAATGGAATTAGTTACCTCATCTGAAGACTCCAATTCTGATTCACCACTTGAGAGATGTGCAACATTGGAGTTTGTATCTACATGAGAGGGTGGGGTGGGGGTAGGTGGGTGGGTAGGGGTAGGGGTGGGGTGGGTAGTTCTGCACGAAATGGGGCTGAAAATTGTGAAACAAAGTTTTTGTGAAACAATAGTCTCTTGATGAGATGAACTAGCACATTTGTGAAACAAAGTTTTTGAATCTTTGTTTCTCAAGTGATCATCATAGTCCCTTTTCTTTATAGAATCAGAAAGAATCTGAAAATTGGTGTGATTATGAGTCTAAGATCTTATATATATATATATATATATATATATATATATATATAATTAGAAGATATACTGATATACTTGCCTCATATGCACATTGAACTTTCTTAAATGATTCACTTGCCAATGGGTTTGACAAGAAGCACGAGCTGCAGTGCAATTATTGAAGAGATGACTCCTGAATACAATGTGGTGGCTGAAAGTATGGTTACCAAAGAAGTTGAAGGGGATGCTTCTGGAAGAAGTCTTCAATCCAAATCAGAATCAGATATCAAATCTTCGTGCAAACAAGATTCTGATGAGAAAGGCATGTAGCAGACTGTGGGGAGTGGGGGTGTTTTTATCTATTCTCCAACCAGAACACTTAAAGAAGTCATGAGGGAGGATCTTAAAGAAGAGTACATCAGTTACATGGTAAGGAAACAATAGTTGTTGATTCATGAGTCATGAGTCATGAGTATGTTGTTATTGATTTGGTTATGATATCAGGCGGAGACACCTCGAGCCATTGGATCAACAAAGGAAGATAATGACTGGGATTTGTTGTTTGAGGAGCAAAGAAGGAAGATAATAAAATTGTGGGATGAATGCAACATTACATTGATTCACAGGACCTACCTTTTCTTGCTCATCCAAGGCAGTCCATCTGATTCCGTCTACATCGAGATCGAGCTCCGCCGACTATCCTTCCTCCAGAAAGCAGTACATCACGCCTCAAGGTTTGCTTACACATATGAATTATAATACTTGAATTTCATTTGTTTACTCATACTCATCTTTGTTTGTTTGTTTGTTTGTTTGTTGATGGGTAATAAAATCACAAGGGCAATGGATTTGGAGAGGGCGATGCTAAGCAGGAAACTACTGAGGAAATACTCAGCAAAGGAAAGGGAAGGCCTTTTTCTACCAGACCACCTGCAGAAAGAAGCATTCCAACACATGATTTTGATCCTCTTGCCACTGCCACATGCAAAGGAATGGTTTTTTGCACATTCCTTATGTTCACATCAACTCCAGCATAAGGAATAATATGTTCAAACATAACAGCAGTTAATGGTCCAACCAATTCAACTCATTCATGCCTTTCTGTACATAAAATGTCAACACACTTGAGGAAATTGATGGAAGAATAAATAAATAAATAAATAAATAAATAAATAAACTTACTTTAACTAACTCCAAATCATTAGTCATAGCAGCAGTATGTAGAGTTGTACCTCCATGTTGCGTGTCTTGAGCAGTAGCTTCAGCTCCAACAACAAGAAGAATCTGTACAAGTTCTCTACCATCTACAACATAATTAAATAATTATATATATTTAGGGTAATAAAAACATAATTAAATATATATATATATATATATATATATATAGCAGCAATATGGATAATTATATATATATATATATATATATATATATATATATATATATACATACATACATACATACATATATATAAATATATATATTGGGTAATAAACAACATAATTAAATAAATATATATAAAAAATACCTTGTCTTGGCTGAACATGTTTATATCTTCGACAATGAAGATGAGGTCAAATCTTGAAAGAATTGTAGTCTGTAAGTCAATGTTATCTTGTGCAGTTTTGAGATCATCATAACGACCTGATGGAGGGTTTGTTGCAGCTAATACAGAAGTCCTGCAATTCAGAATTGTTGTTATTCCTGCTTTGGTTATGGATATTTTTTGTTGTTCCATGGCTTCATGTATGGCAGCCCTAATATGGAAGGGTGTTGTAGAATATTTGTATAAAAAAAGTAAAAAGATAAGAAAGTTACAGTGTTGTTATCACAAATGACAGAAGCAGTAAGCCCAGCTGCAGATGAGCCTTTCCTAGAAGTGTATACAACTATAGGAGCAGTACGTACCTAACCTTGTCAAAAACAAAAATGTAATTTACTTAAATCCATATTTTTTTTTAACTAACATTGTCTTGTAACCATTGCATTCAAAGAGAACTAAGTTTATCATCAAAAAAGGCTACACCTAATTGACTGGTCAATAGTGGAATGTATTCTATATGTGCAACACCATTCATAATATGAAATAATAATTATAATAAGTTTCGTGGTGTATGAAGGTGTAATTAAGCATTACATATACAAAAAGTAAAAACCAAACCTTCAGAGCAACAAGCAATACCTTGTGTTTTTTTCTTTGTTTATTTCCACTTCTTCACAAAAACACCATTCATTCAAATCAAAACTTAACCAACAAAAACCAAAACCAAAAGAAATCAAATCTCCACACTCACATCACAGTCCACTCTCGTTCAATTCCTACAATAAAAATGATCAGGATGATGATGATTGAGGACATTTACGTCTTTTTTGCACATACAGGAGAGAGAGAGAGAGAGAGAGATTACAAGGTAAATTGGAGTAGGGTGTGGGTGTTAACGAGGTAACCTCTTATGGATGAGAATCTCCTTGAGGTGATGATGGAACCTGCTGAGGCGGGCTTGGAGGCTCACAAGATTTGTTGCTTTGCTTGACAACATACAACTTAACTGAGTCACGTAGTTGTTGATAAGGCTTCCTGGTTTATTAGCTTCTGCCAGCAGTTTCATTTCCCGATTTCCAGCAAGGCTATTATGAATTGAACCCTAACATAAAACTCTTACCAAACAAGTTCAGGATGCCAGCGACGGGAAGGAAGAAAAGGATGTTCGCAAGGAGAAAGAAGGTCTGACGCCGGCGAGGGTGGAAGAAGCAGTGGCAACGGCGGAGAGGAGAAGGAAGACCGACCGCAACGAGGAGAAGGAAGACCGACCGCAGCGACGGGAGGGGAGTCGGTGATGTCTTTGACCAGAGTATCTGAAGAGCTTGTATCTTCACGGCAAATAAAGCGATTGACAGGAAAAATTCCAAGAAACATGTGAAGAACGAGCAAGAACAAACTCAGCAATCAAGTAAAAACAAAAGAACTCACTAATTGGGAAAGAGATAAATCTTGAAGCTCTTACCATCTGAAGATATAGAAAAGATGATTGAAGAGGTCGATTGGGCAGATTTATAAGATCGCTTGTGGTAGGGAGGCAATGAATGGATGAAACAAGCCCTAACAAATCCAGGCGCAAATCCAGGCGAGAGGGATGAGATGGAAATACGAGAGTGTGATAGAAAAAATTAGGGTCGGATTTAGGAACCCTAAATCATCGGCTCAAATTGATAACTGGGAGGTAAGAACCCTAAATCCTCAGCTCATTAGGGTCGAATTAAGAGTGTACGAGTTTGTTGGAACCAAGAATTAGGTTTTTGGTGGAGGTTATGGATCGAGGAATTGAGGAAGTTGTGGATGAAGATGAAGGCCCTAATTCGAAGAGGCGGGCAATTTTTGGGATGATAGGCGGGGTTAATTTTTTGGATTTCATTTTCCCCCCTAAAAACGCGTGTTTCCTAAAAAAATATAAAGCGACACAGTTACACGACGCACAGTTTTTGATAGGTGCCCTCTGTATTTTTTTTCTAACACAAATTTAAGGGCACGCCAAAAATGGGTGTCTTCTATCCTTCAAATTTTGGAAAACTGACATTAATTTTTAGGGCACGCACAAATGCACGCCCTTTATCCGTGTGTGTCATTAATTGCGCGTCGTAAAAGGCTATTTTTCTAGTAGTGGATCTTGAGAACGGTTAGCAAGAGATGCTTTCGTGTTAGTAGTCAGTGGCAGAGACGGCATGCAGGGTTGTGTGGATTTAGGAGTTGGGGGTTTGGGAAACTTCCCAATGATATTTTCATGTATCCGGATTAGTAGATGGATGGTTTGGGAACCAAGCCGAAGAATTCCTCGACGGACCGCTAAGTGTATCAAGGATATAAGATGTCGAGGTTGATGCAACATTTGATGACTGAGGGCTGGTTTTGAGAAATCAGGATGAGGAATCACTAGCAGGACTGGGGATAGTCAGGATGTCCTCGGGATAGTAGTAGTGTTGTAAGTCTACGGGGGTAGCCGTAGCATTCACTAGCAGTCAGATAGTAGTAGAGTGTTGTAAGTCTGCGGGGGTAGTCGTAGCATTCACTAGCAGTCAGATAGTAGTAGAGTGTTGTAAGTCTGCAGGGGTAGCCGTAGCATTCACTAGCAGTCAGATAGTAGTAGAGTGTTGTAAGTCTGCGGGGGTAGCCGTAGCATTCACTAGCATTCAGATAGTAGTAGAGTGTTGTAAGTCTGCGGGGGTAGCCGTAGCATTCACTAGCAGTTAGATAGTAGTAGAGTGTTCTAAGTATGCGGGGGTAGTCGTATCATTCACTAGCAGCAAGATAGTAGTAGAGAATTGTAAGTCTGCGGGTGTAACTATAGCATTTACCAAGTTGGTAGGCAGCATGAGCGCGTTGTTTGGATGCGGGGAAAGCAGTAATACCCACTAGTTCGGGTGCAGTAGTGAGAATATGGGAAATCCACGGGTTAGATTTCGGATTTCCCAAATGGTTCAATTCTGGTTAAGTCGGCGATTTGTCAGTGGATCGTCACCACAATTATGAGATCAAGGAAGCAGTGGGCCGCTTGGGTTCGTGTATGTTAAGGGCTACCGTTAGTCTGGGAGCCACCATTTTTAGTCTTAGATTTGATGATGTCAGGATTCGACGTATGGACCTGGTCAGTTGGATCGGGAGGTTGTAAGAGTCACAGTGTCAGAATGACTAGTGGAAACTAGTTCTAGAGAAAGATTTAATTCAAAAGTTGTGGGAGCGACTAAGTAAAGAGTCCTTGGGCTCCACAGTTGAGTTGGAACTCAGTGTTGCAGATAACTGATGAATGATTGGAGACCAGGAAGGTCTTGAGATGTTGTGGGAAGCAGCCATATAGCCAGTTCAGTGTTTCCGTCAGTTCAGTGCTTCAGTCAGTTCAATGTTTCAGGCAGCTTAGTGTTTTAGCCAGTTCGGTGCTTCAGCCAGTTCAGTGTTTCAGTCAGTTCAGTGTATCAACCAGTTCAGTGTTTCAGCCAGTTCAGTGTTTCAGCCAGTTCAGTGATTCAGTCAGTTCAATGTTTCAGGCAATTCAGTGTTTCAGATAATTTCAGTGTGATGGCCAATATTAGTATTTGTGCTGGAATGCAAGTGTTGACGGTATAGTTGGTCGATTTGTAATAGCAAGTCCCTCTCAGCAGGATTAGTTGAGTCTTCTGCCAAGTATAAGTGATCTGCAAGGATAATTAGGCAGGTAGCCTTTCTTTCTAGATGGAAGGCTCGAGTTATTGGAAGTTGAGTAGTCAGATGAGAGATAAGCAGGCTGGTTCCAGCAGCATCGATTCAGTATGAGTGGCAAAGTGGGTAGAACAGTTATAGATAGTCGAGGTATCTTTAGAAGTCGCGGAAAGCGACTAGGAGATTGTGATTGGGTGTAGTAACTGGTAGGAATCTGTTAACCCAGATATGGAGACATCAGTAGGGACCAGGGTGGTCTCGGTTCATCCGGAAGGCGGATAAGGGACAACAAAAATTTTCAGTCAGTGACAGTAATGGAAAGCAGACTATGGTAGAATTTGACTAGTTGATTGATGGGTACTCAATACTAAGTTATAGTAGCGAAAAGTGTCGAGTGCATAGCTAGTGGTAAGCAGTAAGTGAGTTGTGAAATAGTTGGTCGTGGTGGACTTCAAGGACGAAGTCTAGTATAAGTAGGGGAGGGTTGTAACACCTAGAATCAGGAAGACCAAGAAAATAAAGGTTAAGCTCTAAATCAAGAGTCAACTCGTCGAGTCCAAGGAGGAACTCGACGAGTCGGAGCGGGATCCGGGTCATTGAGTAAGTGACCGACTCGGCGAGTCAGCGAGTGGACTCGACGAGTCTGGTCTAGGCGAGAAAAACCCTAATCACGGAGGTTGTGCCCTATATAAAGCACATTATAACCCACCCTCAACCTTTTTGCTCCCTTTTTGAGTTCCAGAAAACCTAGAATTGAGTGAGCCTTCATTATTTGAGAGAATAGAGCCTTGGAGGAGAGAATATTGGAGAGGGGCTTGAAGATCAAGGCCTTTGCTACAAAGGAGTGGTGTAGATCCGGGATTTACTTCAGTTGGAGCTTTCATTTGAGGTAATAGTATGTTGTTTGGGCTTATGTGCATCCAGATCTATCTTATGTTTGAGTTTTGGGCATTTTGAGTATGGATGAGATCTATTTTGATTTTGGAGTAGATCTGAGGTTGCTACCTCAGATCTAGGTTGGTAATAACCCAGAAAGTCATAAAGTTTAGGCCAATAAGTTGTTGGTGAATCCCCTTTGTTACAAACCCTAGCCCTAGAGTGTTCTAAGCCTATAACTCCTTGGTTACACGTAAAGTTTGCCATTTTACGTGGGGGTTAGGCTCTAGAGGAATGGATCTATGGATTTGAGCCCCTGCATGGCTCGAAAAGCCATTGTATGGATTAAAAACTGAAGAGACTCAGCGAGTCACATAGGTGTACTCGGCGAGTTGTATGATCATGAGCATGAACTCGGAGAGTTGGAAGACCAACTCGACGAGTCTGTTGAAGATTGCCTTGGACTCGACGAGTCTATTCTTGGACTCGGCGAGTCAAGTCGCGAAACCCCAAACCCTTCGAGTTGACTCGGATCAGTGAGTTGAGTGTGGACCCAGTAAGTGGGCAGGTCAGGACTCGAAAATTAGTAGACTCGACGAGTCATGGTCTGACTCGACGAGTCGAGTTGCAAATGAAAGGGATTTCAAAGCTTATGAACTCGGCGAGTCAGAAGGCTGACTCGGCGAGTAGGGTCAACCTAGAAGGTTGACTGTGACCAGGACTTTGACTTTGACTAGAGTTGACTTAGTTGACTTTTGAAGGGCTGTCAGACTAAGGTGTTGTTTGATTTTCTGAAGCAAAAATTCATGAAGTCTGCGGACCACCTCTGCAACCCTCTGCAGTAGAAGAGGTGGACCAAACGGCTGTAGACTATAATAAGAAGAGAGTTTGTTTTTTTAACATTTGCATACTGCTGCAGATATTAAAAAATTTAAATAAAATAATTTTATAAACCGAAAATAGCTTTTTAATACGTAAAATTTAATAATGTATAACATTTCGGTAAAAATTAATGATATTTCAGTAAAAAATAATGATATTTCAACAAAAAATAATGATATTTTCAGTAAAAAATAATGATATTTCATCAAGAAATTATCATTATTGAATATAAAAAAAAATGAAAAATAAATTCAATAAGAATAAACGAAAAAAAAAGGGAAAAAAATGTGAAATAAAATTTTAATAACATATAATCAAAATTTCAGCAATAAAAAAAGAAGAAGAAGAGGTTGGAAGAGGCAGTACAAGTGCTGCGCCGAACACAGCACGCGCAGAGGTTTTTGACTCAGAAGATTTCTAAAAAACAAACAGCTGCGAGATGAAAAGTGATGCACGTGTGCTGCGCCGCGCAACAGTAAGAGGTTTGAAGAGGTTTTTTTTCCAAAAAACAAACAGCACCTAAGTGATATATTGTTATTGGTAGCCCGGAGAGCTAGAGGAGCAGCGCCTCAGAGGGTTGTCGGTTAGCAGCCAGAGGGTTATCAACAGAGCCCAACAGTTCAGGTAAGTTTCCTTCCAGTAGGAACGGGTCTAAGGCCACAATGTCGTCCCGTTTAGCTAGTAGTGGTTTCCGGACTTCGATCCGATGCAGTAGTTAGTATGTTTGATGCCTTCGTGGCTCAGATAGGATTTATGTGTTATGTGTTCCGGGCTACGACCCGATGTAGTATGCAGTATATGTGTGTTTATGCTAGTTGATGTGTTTATGTTATGCTTTGTTCATTTAGTTCCGGACTTCGGTCCGATGCAGTTAGTCCGGACTTTGGTCTGATGCAGGGGACAAGGTCCCAGTCAGTTTCCGGACTTTGGTCCGATGCAGGGGGCAAGGCCTCAGATAGTCCGAACTTCGG